CGGGCCGCCTTGCAAAGCAGAGCCGCCGAAGCGACCGGAGAAGCGGGTTTGCTCTTCGGAGGAGGCGCCCGGGTCCCCGCTTTCTCCAAATCCCGGGGCGGGGGCTTCGTCGGGATTTCCCCTGGAGGATTAAATCACAGCATCTATTTATTTCTTGTTTCTCCTTTTCCCAGCTTTGGTTTTACAACCCAAAGGCATTTCCTGGTGTTTAGTTCTCCCGTCGACGGTCTCAGAGGGAGCGGCCCTGATTGTCCGCGCCATCCCGTTGCAAACGTGCTAATTCCTCCGTTACTTCACTGTACTCCCGTGTTTCTCAACCGTGGCCACTTGGAGATGTGGGGACTTCAACTCCCAGAATCCCCCGGCTGGCACTGTTAAAGTTGAAGACTAACATATTGATCTTAGGAGCAGAATTGCTTCTGCCAAATCCTCCCTCCCTTCAACCCGACTGGACTGTTTGCAGTGCTGAAAACATCTTTGAACACTGACTTGGGTGGGTGGCTGTGCCGTTACGGTTCTAGCTAAGTCACTAATAACCTCTGGATTGCTGGCTGGGGAATTTTGGGAGTTGAAGTCCACACTTCTTCAAGTTGCCAAGGTTGAGAAACACCGCTGTACGTAGATCCGGGCTGGAAAAAAATCAACGGCCGCTAGGGGGCAGCAAAGAGATAGCAAGGATTCCAATTCTCTGCCACCCTCTAGTGCTGGGTTCTTCACTGCAGCAACTTTAAGATGGGTGGACTTAACTTTAAGATGGTGGGACACGGGGCAGGAGTTGGGGGTGAAAAAAGTTAAACCCAAATGCAAAAACAGACACCCGGACTAGATTTGGGGTGGAATTTTAAGCTTACAACCAGTTCTGCATCATCTTTTCTGCAACAGCCAAATTTTGCTCCCAAGGAAGAAAATTCATGATGCCGGCAGTAGAGGCACAGGGCAGAGGGTGAGGGTGAAAAAAGTTCAACCCAAATGCAAAAATGGGTGGTGGGACAAGATTCAGCGTAGAATTTTAGGGTTAGAATTGGTTCTGCATTGTCTTTTCCTTAACAGCCAAATTTTCCTCCCCAGGAAGAAAATTCCTGATGCCAGCAGAAGGGACATGGGGCAGGTGGGGTCCCAAAATATTTAATTCGAATTGAAAAATGAACACCGGGAGTAGATTCGGGATGGGATTTTATCCTTCGAAACGGTTCTGCATTGTCTTTTCCAGAATGGTGAAATTTTGCTCCCTGGGAAGAAAAGTCCTGATGCCCATGGTAGGGGCGCGGGGTATGAAAAAAGTTCTTCCTGAATGCAAAAACAGACACTGGGACTAGATTCGGGGTGGAATTTTATGCTTATAACTGGTTCTGCTTTGTCTTTTCTGGAACAGCCAAGTTTTGCTCCCCGGGAGGAAAATTCCTGATGCTGGTGGTAGGGGAGTGCGGTATTGGGGGGGGGGGGGGTTCAATTCAAGTGGAAAAATGGATGCCAGGACTAGATTTGGGGTGGAATTTTATGCTTATAACTGGTTCTGCGTCATCTTTTCTAGAATGGCCAAATTTTGCTCCTGGGAAGAAAATTCCTGATACTGGCGGTAGTGGTGCAGGGCGGGATGGTTGTCAAAAAATTTAATCCTAATGGAAAAACAAACTCCAGGACTAGATTCGGGGTGGAATGCGGGTTGGGGGTGTGTGAAAAAAGTTCAACCTGAATGCAAAAACAGAGGGCGGGATGAGATTTGGGAGACATTTTATGCTTAGAACTGATTCTGGATTGTTTTTTCCGGAATGGCTAATTTCTGTGCACCGTTTGCACTCCATTCCACTTAGAAGCTCCTTTTCAGAATTGAATATAAACATTTCATGGTCTTAGTGGGAACACAACCAGGATGTTCTGATTCTCTGTTGTTTTCTCAGATTTTCTGCCCATGGTGGAGAACAATCAGTTGCCTTCTTTAAGACCTAGGCTTGATAGAAAATACATCAGAAACTTCCGATGAATCTCTCGGTCTGCAATAGGCTACCAAATGTTCTGGACTCCTGGTGTTCTGAAGAGTGGCAATAAGTAAAATATTTTAGAAATAGTTGGCCCTAGGTTGGTGACAAAGAATGTTGAGGAGCAAAAACCAGAAGTCGATTTTATGTGGAAGTGTTTGAGTGATCTCATTTTACTAACTGCAAATTCTAGATCATGTTCATAAAGTCCCTGCCTGTCTCAGCCGCTGTTTTGCACTGGTTTTGTTGTTACCAAAAAAATGACATGAAGAAGTCATAAAGTCACAAGAGCTGAGCTCAGCTTGGGGAAGATTTTCTTATCTGGTGGATGACAGCATTTTGGCAGCTGGGTTTGCACAACCCACTCGGCTCATATTTATTTATTCATTTATTAGATTTTTATCCCATCTTTATTATTATTATTTTTATAAATAACTCAAGGCTGTGAACATACATAATCCTCCTTCCTCCTCCTTTTTCCCCACAACAACCACCCTATGAAATGGGTTGGGCTGAGAGAGAGGGACTGGCCCAAAGTCACCCAGTTGGCTTTCATGACTCAGGTGGGACTAGAACTCACCGTCTCCTGGATTCTAGGCCAGCACCTTAACCACTAGACCAAACTGGCAAAGTAACTAAAAGTTGTTAGTTTGCTTTTGCTGTGTTGGGTGAACCTTGCCAACATGGGTTACTCCATTAATGATGGCTCCTCAAATCGTACTTTAGCTTGTTGGGTGAATATGAGTCTGGAGCAACCAAATTTGTTCTCCCAGGCTTGAAGTCAGTCCATCTTTGAACTTGCAAAAGAATCACATTTGTGGAGTGGCACAGAGGAGGCATATTGTAAAGAAATCTGTTCTTCTGCATGAGTTAAACTAGAGTCAACATCTGGAGAGTTATTTCAGGAGGCGTGCCTTTTCTGCTCTAGCATCTGTCCCATGGAACTTTGAGTCAGGCACCTCCCATTACGTCTTCCTCTCGGCAGCTTTTTAAGGACATAGTCTCCTGTTCCACTACTTTGGGTCAATTTTTCTCTCTTCGCCACTAACGTTCTTCCTCAGCTGAATAGTAATGGGAGAACCCGTGGCCTGCCTAAGACTGCCGAATTGGAGCTGCTGAAAATCATAATTCAGAAATTCCCAGAGGGCCGCTGGTCCTCAACTAACCCACAAAAACAAGCAGAGCATCCAGAAGTGGGATTTTTGGGGGGAGGGGAGTTTGAAGGAGAGAGAGAATACATCTTAAGTACAACCGGGACCTTTTTTGACTATGGTTCCAATTAAGGGTTGGGGGCAGGGGAAATTTCCCGTCGTTTAATTTCCCGTCGTATACGTTGTTGGAAGCCAGTTTGCTGCAGTGGTTCAGGCACCAGGCTAGAAACCGGGAGACAGTGAGTTCTAGTCCTACCTTAAGCACAAAGCCAACTGGATGACCTTGAGCCAGTCCCTCTCTCTCAGCCCTGGGAAGCAGACAATGGCAAACCCCTTCTGAAATCTTGCCAAGAAAACTGCAGGGCCTTTTCCAGACAGCCGCCAGGAGTCAACGCTGACTTGAAGGCATAAAAAAAAAAAATTTTTTTTGGAGTCAGCTGGGGTGATTTTTTTCAAACTTCCCCCAATGCCAGCATCTTCAGATACGTAGCAGGATTAACTTGCCAACCTTCTGAATGTGGAATGTTTCAAGGCCTTTAAAATGTTGTTGCTGGAGAGGACAAGTCTCTTGTGGCTTCTATGAAGCAGTGTTGGGGTTTTATTAGGAAAAAGACATTTGGGCGTGACTTGGGGACCAATAATGGTGTACTCTGTACTTGTATGCAATATCAAGATGACGCGTACTGTATCAAGTACACTCCAGTAACACCGTTTTTCCTATCAGATCTCAAAAAGAGAAAGATTCTAGGGCTATGAATACTTCAAAAATCATTCAGCATTGAATTATTCTTGAGTGGATTCCTTAAAGCAGGTATAATTTTTCTTCAGGTTCACATGGCTGCCTGAAAAATGCCAAAAAGCTTTAAAGAATAGGAGAACAGCCAAGCTCAGCTCATGGTACCGATGGGACAACATGGACGTTGTTTGCCATTCTCTTCTGAGGAATGTTGTCTTCTAGTCCAGCCTACAGCTCTGAAGGTTCCTAGTGGT